TATATATATATATATATATATATATATATGAAAGAGGTCTTCAATAATTTCCTGGAAAGATTTGTAATATCTTTTAATTCCATTTTTCCATGAACATTTTGAAGAATGCTTCTACACACACACACACACACACACACACACAAATACACACAGTCAGCCCTTTGTATCTGTGGGTTCTGCATCCGTGGGTTCTGAATTCGTGGATCCAACTAACCACAGATGGAATATATCTGGGAAAAAAAATGGATGATTGCATCTGTACTGAATATGCAGACTTTTTTTTTTGTCATTATTTCCTAAACAATACACTATAACAACTATTTACATAGCATTTACATTGTATAACGTATTATAAGTAATCTAGAGATGATTTAAAGTATGCAGGTGAATGTGTGTAGCTCCGATGTGAATACTATTTCATCATCAGAGTCCTGGAACTAATCCCCCAGTTTAACCAAGGATACCAAGGGACAACTGCACATTATGTACATATGTCTAACATACACATTTATAATATGTGTACTATTATACATGTTAAATGTATTATATATGTATTCATATTTTATACCATATAAATAAAAATCCAATCTTTTATAAATAAATACATAAAATATGATACATCAAAAACGTAATCAACATATACTGTGTGTGTGTGTGTGTGTGTGTGTGTGTGTATATCAAAATTTGACTTCTGTATACACACACACACTCACACACACACATTCCACAGACTGGTGGGATGGTTCATAACCAACTGGACAAAGAGTCAAGGTGAGGCGCCAACATACAATGTTGTCACTGACAGAGGATTCAGGGAGCTGTGGAGCAGTGAGAGCTCTTATATTGCCAGTGGGATATAAATTGGTACAATTTCAATATGTGTAATATCAAGTAAAATTATGATAATGTGCATCCCTCACACCAGCATTTCTACTCCAAGGTATACCCCTGAGAGGAAACCATTTACAGGACACAAGGAAACATGGATAAGAATGCTCACAGTAGTATAGTTTGCAATAGCAACAAGCAAAAAAAAAAAAAAACAACTATACAACCTCAATGACCATCCTACAAAACAATGGATTAAATAACACATTGCATTCATTTTCTGCCACACTGCAGAGTGATTGGGAGAACAGTTTCTAGGAGAGAAAGATTCCCTGGTCTTAGGAACCTACAACAATCACTTAACCTCTCTTGTGTCTTAGTTTCCTCATCTGTAAAGTAAAAATTCTTTCTATAGAGAGGACTATGGTATAAAACACATGCACATGTAAAGCTTTTCTAATCTATCACAAAGAAAGAGCACTCACAGAAGATTTATTCAGAATAGCCCAAAACTGGAAACAACCTATATGTTCATTGATCAGTAAACGGATAAACAAATTTTGGTGTATTTGAATGATGGAATAACACTGAACAATAAAAAAGAACAAACTACTGATACAGGCAATGAAACACAAAAGCACTATGCTAAGTGCAAGAAACCAGATATGAAAATTCCATTTATGTGAAATTCTAGAAAAGGCAAAACTATAGTGATAGCACATTGGTCATTACCATAGATCAAATGATAGTACATTGGTGGAGACGTGAAAACTTTTGGGGACAATGTAATTTTTTTTTTAATATCTTTATTGTGGTGGCTGTTATATGATTACATATATTTTTTCAAAACTCATTGAATTGTCCACTTAAAATAGGCCAATTTTATTATATGTAAATTATACCTCAATAAAGCTTGTTTTAAATTAAAAAAGAAGAGTGCTCAGTATATGTAAGTTGCTCTTGATGCTAGTGAGTGTGCATGTTGTAACACTGAAACAAGTAATCTGGCACGTATTAAGATTAACAAAAATCCTAGCAATCTCACCTTTAGGGATGTGCCCTACAGAAACCAAAGCACCCAGACATAAGGGTGCGTGAACTAGAAAGTTATTGCAGTAATGTTATACCCAAGTACTAGAAACAGCCTGAAGCCCCATCAATGGTGATATGGTTACACATATTTATGGTATACTTATGGACTATTAGGCAGCTTTAAAAAGTAATGAGTGACATAGTAGAGACATTCCATATCACATGTTTGTACAGACACAGAGAAAGATATAGATCTCATTACCTGGAGAAGCAGGATTGGAGAGGGTGGTAGAAACTTTGAACCTTTTCTGTATATTCTCTATATTGTTTGATTGATTATAATTTATTTGTATTACTTAAGAAAAAAATTAAAGAAGGTTTAAAAAAGGAGAAATAGCTCGTTAAAAGATAAGCCCATTTAAGAAACAGGTTAACTTGAACCATGTTGTAATGCCTCCTGTAAAAAATGAGAATAGGCAAAGCAATTCAATGAAATCTGGACAAGACTTACATAAAGTCCTGTATTTTCCCTCCTGACGTCTTTATAGGATCAAATATAGAGTGTTTTTGTTTCGTTGTTGTTGTTGACTTGAGGGGAATACAGGTCCATAATTCTTTATCTAAAACCCCCTGGGGCCAGATGGGCTTTGGAATTCAGAATATTTTTGAAGTTACAAAGGCAAAACAATACAGATACCCTAAATTACATGTACACCCCCACCAAGATATAAGGCAGAGCCTTGTACTCAAATACATCAATGTCTGCAGCAAAATATATATTCAAACTAAGTGGGATGAATAACCCATTAGTATCATATCAGTGCAGTTCAGGTTTGGCAGACAGACTCAAGGACAGCCATCCGTGATCCCTGCCTCTTGGTGTTCACTATGTAAGACTCCATCTTGCTAGCAGATTTGCTCTAGAGACTTTCCCTCTTGAGCTCACTTTGAAGATATAATTGGCCACGTTGGGAGCCATGTGCAAGGAGCTGAGAGATGGCTTCTAAAAGCTGAGGGCGGCCAACAACCAGTAAGAAGAGCCAGGGCCTTAAGTCCTGCAACCATAAGGAAATGAATTCTGCCAGCAACCTGAGCAAGCTCAGAAATGGATTCTTTCCCAGTCTAGCCTCTAGATGAGAACATGGCCTGACCAGCCCCTTAACTGCACCCTTGTAAGCCCTAAGCAGAGGACCCAGCTATGCTATACCAGATTCCTGGTCCACAAAAACTGTGAGATAATATATGTGTGTTGTTTAAGCTGCTAAGTTTGTGGTAATTTGTTTGTAGTAATAGATAACTAATACAGCTATCAAATCATTTCAGGTTAGGTCCAATATTGCAGCTGAACAAATCATAATAAAACTTTCCATTTTCAGAGCTTTTTCAATTTTGTAATTATGGATATGAAGTTGTGTAAATAAAGCAAGCACTGATTAAAAGAATCAAAGGAATGGGTAGCTCAGGCTTTGGAATCAGTAAAACTTGGTTTTCATCATGATTCTGTGTTTGATCTAAGTTCCTAAAATCATTTGAATCACAGTCAATAATATTCACCTACCTTTCCTGTATTGCTGTAAGAGTTAACCGAAATATTAACAAAACACTACAATCAGATCTAATACTTACCGTGACGTGCCCCTGATGATGTACCAGACACCATGCTAAGGACATTACACATATTCATGCATTTAACTTTCATGACAACCCATGAAATGGGAACTGTTAATATTTTCATTTTTCATTTGGGGAAACTGAAGGACATAGAGTTGCCTGGAGTGGAATGGCTAACAAATGGGACAGAGGAATTTGAAGGGTCTGTCCAGATAACCAGTATTCAGTGCCCACATCTAAGCATCAGAGCATACTAACCAGGGAGAATATGACAGCTCCACTGAAAACAACTAAACAACATCTCTGGCCAAGAGCCTGCCCAGCAACAGGTGGTGAACTCAGTTACTGCTCAAGGCCCCTTCCGTGTGTAGCATTTAGGGACTTTTGAGTTTACATACCTTGATAGCGCCTTAACAATTTCCTCACATCAAAGTAAAGCTCAGAAACGTTGCACGTAGCATGAATCTCCAAGGAAAAGGCCTTTGGTGTTTCCAGTTTCACCGCCCAACTCCTTGAATAAGCAGAGGTCAGACTTCTTCAGTGGAACATTCTACTCAGCTATACCTTTGCCCTCGCCCTCCCGCATTCATCCAGGACTTACCTGCTCAAAGTGTCCTTCACATCCTATGGAGAGACAAAATCAAAAGGTGAGTACAGGAACATCAGTATTTCATGCGGGGCTGTTCCCTATAAACATTCCTCCTAAAGAAGTAAGGAGACAGCATGGCAGGATGATTATCAGCTTCTGAGTCTTTTATCTTCCTTGCTGAAGCCTGTGGGCTGCTTGGGGAAGAGGGCCAGGAGCTTCATTCATGCCCCCCCTGATAAGACTTGCTTTCAGCAACCTGATTTTCTTTAGAATGTGCCTGTATTAGAGATCATTTATCACAAATCCCTTAGCAGTGAATCCATACACAGCCCAGAGATTAGGCCATCATGGTGGTGGCAACAGGTATCACATAGTGATGGAGCAGTCATGCTACACTCTCAACCTTACAGTGTAACCACCAGTTCTGTTAGTTGAAGCCAGAATTAACCGCCCCAGGTGTATACCTTAAAGGGCTGGATCCTGCATGCAGCTGTAGGAAGGCCCTATAATAGCTCCAGAGCAAGGGCTCTATAAGCAAATCAGGGGAAAAGTTATCACTCCTTTTGGCTGCCCCACTTTGTCACCCACCAGTCACCTGCAGGAGTGTTCCAGGAGAGTTTCAGGAAGGACAAAAGTCCCATGGTTTTGCTTGTTCAGAAGTAATGTATTTTTCTAATTAACATAAAGGTACCTTATACACTAGTGGAGGCCATCCTGATGATATTGATTTGTATCTTAAAAAAACACTACTCAGAATTCCCCACACTGACGTGCCACTTTTGAGCGAAGGCAGGCAGTCCTTGCCAATCTTCCCATGCTTCCTTACCACTTTCCTCTTAATAGCTCAGTAACACCTTCTTTCCTGCTCCAAGTGCACCTGTAGCTAACCTCACCTGTAGCAATTTCTGGGCTGAGCCCTGACATTTTTCCTCCAGTTTTAGAATGTGGCTCTTGAGTTCATGGCTCTTCTGCTCCAGGTTGGCCTCGGTCTCCCTCAGTCTCCTCAGCATCTGCTCTTCTTCTTTCTCCAGCCTCCAGAGATAAAACTTCTCCTCTTCATGCAGGAATCTTTGGAGATTCCTAAAGTCAGACTGGATTTTTTGTCTCTGAACCTGTATCATTTCCTAGAGTCAGCAAAGTATGGTCAAAAGGTGAAAACAATAGTGAATAATATTGCACTGTATATATCGAGTGTAGGGAAAGTGAAGATAAATGGTCAGGGTCCCTCAGGGGTTCAGAGTCTTGCCGAGCATTTGATGTAAATATGCACGTGCGTCCAGGTGTTCCTTGGTTATTGTCTAATGTAATTGTGCATGTGCACCCAGGTGTCCTGGGTTATTGGACTTAAGTATAAAGGATGAGTGGCTCTGATCCACAGGACCTCCCCCTCCTCCAGGATGCCCCAGGGGGTCCACGGGGAAGCCACTAATGCTGCTGGAGGCTGTTGCTGCCAGGGCCCTTGGGATGCCCCCAGGAGGCCACTAGGGTGGCTGCTGCTAGCTACCTGAGCTTGCATCTGAATAAAGCCTATTAATTTTTACCCACGGCTCCTGCAATCTTTTTCCTATTACCTAGCTCATGGATTTGCAGATGAGGGGTTTATGACCCAGTCTGTACAATGGATTTGAAGCGTCTGTGGACCCTAGCCCTAGCAATACATCAAAATAGCCAGAAAAGAGGATTCTGAATGTTATAACCACAAAGAAATGGTAAATGTTTAGGTGACAGATACGGTAACTATTCTGATTAGACCATCATACATTATGTATATATTGAAACAACAAACTGTACCCCATAAAAATGTATGACTTAAATAAAAAAGGGTAAAAACAAACTAAATATATCCATCTATGGATGGATAAACAAAATGTGGTATATACATATAATGGAATATTATTCAGACTTCAAAAGGAAAGAAAGTCTGATACATGCTACAACATGGATGAATCTTAAAGACATTCTGCTAAGTGAAATAAGCCAAAAACAAAAGGACAAATGTAAGATTTCACTTATATGAGGTACACAGAATAATTAAATTTATAGAAACAGAAAGAATAGTGGCTACCAGTGTGTACAGAGTTTCAGTTTGGAAGATAAAAAAGTTCTGGAGATGGATATGGTGATGGTTGCACAATGTGAAAGTATTTAATGCCACTGAACTGTACACTTACAGATGGTTAAAATGCCGGTCACCCTTGGAAATAACCTGAGAGACCCTATAGTTTGCAGTTGCAAGTATGTAGGTTCTTGCAGCAGTTTTGATACTCCTCATAAATCAAGTAGGTTTCCTTTATCAGCCTCATGAGCTTCAGTAGTACGGATCCCAATCTGGGGTGATCCTGTTTTCTGAATGTTCACAAAGGTTGGTTTCTGAACCCATAAGGCTGAGAGCCAGACTCTGCACTGTGGTAAATGTGCCAAGGTAATTAAGGTTGAGGCCTGCAAGCCAGGAAAGTATTTTGTAGAATTTAAGTTTTGAAACTCAGTCAAGGCTGGTTCTAGGTAAACAGGCACACTAATTCTGTATCACCTGACTAAGGAATAGGAAATCCCAGCCAATTACTGTTCAAAGATTGAGAGGGTTGCTGATAAATTCTGTTGGATGTACACACAGGGAGCTTGAAAACAAAGTTTTTTCTTTGAGTTTCATCTATTTGGTCTGGTTTAGTGAGAATAAATCACCATTGTGCTTTGTCTCCATCATCCCCTACGCCCAACTCTAGAATAAAAAATAGCTTGATCAGTGAATTCAGATTTTTACCTTCCATTGATCTATTTGCATTGTTGCAAACATCTTCAGAGGCACACAGTTTCCTTCAAGTTCCTTCAATTTTGTTACAGCTTCCTGGAGCTTTTCCTGAAGGAAAAATTGGGTGAGTCAATTTGCCTGTACCAGCCAGCCACCAAAAAAAAAAAGTTTATTCAATTTGACCCATTAGCATTTAAGGGCAACCAGCCCTCCAAGATGTGTTAGAATAACAGTGAATATTTATTAAGTCCTTATACTCCTTACACTCTGCCTAGGAGCATGCTGAGGGCTGTATGTGCAGTAACATATCCCCTTGGCAGCCCTGAACGCTGGTAGGCTTTTTAACATCATTTCTGTGCTGTAGAAAATGAAACTTAGGAAGGGGTTAAGTAACTTGCCCAAGGGGCTGTAACTGGTAGGTAGTAGAGCTGCAACTCCAACCTCATCTGCTGACCCAGAGCCTGAGCTATATGCACCACAACAGTCATGCCAGGGAAAAGCTGCACATAGAGCAAGATAATAATCATCTAAAAGAAGATTTCATAAAATAATGTGCTGAAGCAAACATAATCAATACCAGTGTGTGACACACATGGAACTCTGTAGGTATTTAGGGTAAGTCACAAAGGAAAGGTCAGGATGCCAACTGAAGTTATTAGAAACAGAGAAGGTGAGCTCCCATTTCTTTTGAAGAATGGTACTACGAAACCAGCTGAAAATGATTTAGCATCCATGTCAAGCTTTTAGGTTATTTTCAAAAGCTTTTAGGTTATTTTTTCATATTTTCATTGAAAACAATTTGAAGCTGACCCAAATTGCTACTTGTGATCAATGTTAAAATAATTGGCTCCTGTCCTTTATAAACCCAACAAGTATACTCATTAATTCTCTAAGATTCTCAGGAAAGGGCTCCATGTAACTGTTTTAGCAAAAGACTATATTGCCTGCGCTATCTGCCAAGTGCTATTCTATACAAATTTTAATGTCCTTAAAGTTTGTAACAACTCCCTGGGTGTGTATGTTAGGGAGGGAGGGAACTACCATTATTCCCATTTACAGAAGGGGAAACCAAGGCATGAAGACATAAAGTAATTTGTCCAAGACTGCCCATCTAGTAAGCTGCAGAACTAAGATTTCATCCTAAGCAGTCTGGCTCCAGAGGCTTACAACCACTGCTCTGTGCTGATCCTCTTTTTCACTACTTAGTGGGAAAGTCATTATGATAGGAACATCCCCATTATAGTTACTAGCTGCTCAATGGAATCAGGATTGCCATGTCTTTATGGAGCACTTAGAATCTTAATCAAGGCCACCTCCACTTCATGGAGAGAACTAGGAGCCCCACGCTGGGAACAACATTTTCCTCAAATCTAGGCAGTGTAGAGAAGGAATGAGGCGGCAGGACCATGCCTGCCCCCTCATTGTGTGTGCCACAGCAAAGGGTCACCTAGGAGATGCCCAAAACCTCTCCCCCTGCTTCACCCTCCACAACCAACCACTTCCGAATCATTGACTCTTCTTTCTGAATCTTTCATAAAACTGTCCTCTCCTCTCCTTCTTACAGGGATAATTTAAATTTTTCTCCTTGATATTCCTTTTATTTTAGTGGTGCCTGAGTGATGTTTTCAGTGTCACTGACCCTTCACTCCCCAAATGAAAATCTCCCAGTGGCAGGTACAACTCTGGGCTAGGATTTAGACTCTGAGCTAATACTAAGGTTCTGGGCCCTGACTTTCTTTGCCACATGATCACCTGCTTTTCCCCAACACACACCCTCTGGCCTGGTCTTTTTTTTTTTGTCTTTTTCCGTGTCCGGCAACAGATCGCAACCCTTAGTGTTGCCCCCGTACCGGACCAGGGACCGGCAACGGGATCGCAACCCTCGGTGTTGCTCCCGTGCCTCGCTCAGCCAGTGAGCAGGAACCGGTCTGTATGTGGGATCCGAACCCTCGGGCGGGAGCGCCGCAGCGCTTCCCAAGCGGCGCACTTATCCAGTGCGCCACCAGGCCGGCCATCTGGCCTGGTCTTGACATGTCAGGAAAGCTCCCATGCTGTACCTTTGCATGTGTGTTTCCTTCTGCCTGGAATGTCCTGCAGGTGGTGACTTTTCATGTGTCCTTCAGAAGTCACTTCTGGGATAAACTCCCTACCCCCTCATGCCCCTCCCCACTATTCAAACCAGGGTGTTTCAGGCAGTCATTTTTGCTGGTTTTACTGGGCTGTGGGATACCTAAAAGGTGGTGGGTCTTTCTCCCCTGTGTTTGAAACCCCTACCACATGGCTTGCACATTGTGGTTTCTCAAATTATACATGTACCGTGAAGCAAGACAACACACAGGTGTTTGGTTTGAGGACAACATGTTCTAGGTCTGGGAGAAGTTCGTCATAACACGAGTGGATAGGGACAAGAGCCTGACCATCCTGTTGAAGGGCAGAATGGACAATCTGGACCTGATTCAGCAAGGATCTGTCCTAAATGGTGTTTCAGAAGAATGATGTGATGAAACTCACAGGATCATACCCTTAGGTTTCAGGCTAGATAATCCCAGGTCATTGGGAGCAGCATGAGACTGGACCAAACACTCACCTTGTAGTCCTGGCACACATCTTCTACGAGCGCTGTGCTGTGCCCTTTGTGCTGCAGTGTGCGCTCACAGCGCCAGCAGATGAGCTGGCCCTCGTCTTTGCAGAACAGGTGCAGCTGCTCTCCGTGCTCCTTACACAACATTTCATTGTCCATCTCCTTGAGGGTTTCAGTGATGCTTCCCAGCTGTCTGTTGGGCCGGAGGCTCGAAGCATCAAATGGGGCCCGACACTGGGGACAGGAGAACGTATGCACCCATGGATTCTTTTGTCTCATGTTCTCGAGGAAATTTGTGATGCACAAGTGGCAGTAGCTGTGTCCACAGCTGATGCTCATTGGGTTAGCCATCAGGGTTAGGCAGATGGAGCAGGTGGCTTCCTCCCACATCTTCTTGGTGCTAAAGGCCATGGCTTTTCTAGAAAAGTTCCAATATTAGATCTAAAGGTGAAGATGAAGAGCCAGAATTTTCCACAGTGATAGAAACACACCTCACCTGAGCCTCTGTGTTCTGAGCGGGCTGCTACCGGCCTCCGTAGCTCTTAAAGTCTTCACTTTACAAAAAAAAAAAAAATGGATTGGAGTTTAGAAGAGGCATAAACATCTAGCTGTGTTGTCTAATTTTGTAGCCACTATCATGAGTGACTGTTTAAATTTAATGAAAACTAAATATAATTAAAAATTCAGTTTCTCAGTCCACTAGCCACATTTCAATTGCTTAATAGCCACATGTGGCTGGTGTCTACATGAGAGCCCCGATAGAGAACATTCCATCATTGTAGAAAGGTCTCTTGGACCAAGTGCTGAGAGGGATGGAGAAGCGAGGCGGGCTTCTCAGTACCTTTCTCAGAAGTTACAGCAAGAGAAAACTCAGTGAGGGAGTGTGAAACTCCTCCCTGTTCTAATGAATATCAGGAAGAGTTGACACCAGAATTATCTACTTGTAACTGGTAGTAAAACTCAGGTAGTTAGGTGGTGTGTGAAGGAGTCCACTGAGACAATCAAATTGGACTGGCCTTGACCCTCACCCCCACCCCACAAAAACAAAAGGCACTGGGCTAATAAAGTCTCCACGGAGATCTAACCAGGAGGATAATTAAAGTAATCAAGGCAACCAGAAGAAGCGGTTTATCCTTTTTGTGCCCACTCCCTGAACTGAGAGAAAGAAAATTGGAAAGAGGGCTGGGGTGGGGAGGGTTTGGTCCTAGGGAACAGTTATCCCTCCAAAGCAGAGCTCCTGAACAACGAGAGTTTACTGTCTCTTCTCCAGGCCAGAAGCTATCTCCCAGGAGTTCGGGGTAATTGGAACACAGGAAGTTTGCAGAGCCCAGGATGCAGGGAGGCCAGGCCTCTGTGGGATCTTGGGTGTGGGATGCCCTAGTGTTCTCCAGTGAGGACCTGACAACCAGAGGCAGCGGAGAAGTGACCAGAAGCAAAGAAGTCTGTCCCCTTGCCTCCAGCTATGGCTACTTCTGAGAACCCAGCCCTGTTGTCCCCGCCCCAGCTCTGTTCTCCCCATCTCTACCCTCCTTCCTGGGAGTTTGTCTGAGAGGGGAGCAGAGTGGGGAGAAAATTTAAAGAGTGATGTTTCCTTTGAAATGACTGTATTAATCAGTTTTGTGTTGCTATACCAGAACACCTGAAACTGGGTGACTTATAAAGGAAAACGAAATTTATTGCTTACAGTTTCTGTGTCTGGGAAGTCCAAAGTCCATCTGGTGGTGGTGACAGCAACCCAGGGGTCTTACATTGCAAGATGGTGGAGCAGAGAGAGAGAAAGACAGACTCTCCCCTTCTTTTCAAGCCCTTAGAACCATGCCCCTGACCACTATTTTTAATCCATTCACTACCCTGCATGGTCCTACAATCCAATTGCCTCTTCAAGACTCCACCTTTCAATTACAATAATAGGATTTCCCACCCTCTTAACAGTCACAGTGGAGGCTAAATACATAAAACTTGGGGGACACAATTCAAGCTTCGGGGAGTTGTGGGGGGACATAATTCAATCCACTGCAATGACAGTGCCTAGAATTAAAAACAGGAATTCAACTAAAGTTATTAGATAGGCTGTTTTTCTCTCATAATCAGGACCAGTCATTTGGACCCACACAAGTTAATGCCTGCAAGAGTTACACCAGGCCCCTCTCTGCCAAGGGCACTGTGCTTCTGAGGAGAAGGACCTACCCTCCTTTTAAGGCCTCAGGGTGCCTGTCTTGGGCCCCACTCACCTTATATTCTGGATCTCCTGAAATCTGGTGTGGAGTATGGTGAAAGAGAAAGCAGACAGGGGTGTGAGAGCCATAAAGCAAGGTTTTGCCGATTTTCAGAGTTCAAAGGGCTCTGCCATCTGGAAATACACTGTCCACTCCACCCACCACCCCCATCACCGCACACTCACACAACGAGAAAACCTTGATCTGGACCTTTTCCGTCACCTCCGTCACGCAGATATTTGCTGCCTGTCCCCTTCGCAGCGGCCACTTCCTGGGGCCTGGGTGAGGAAGTTAAACACAAAAGTAAAACTACTGGGGGAGGCGGGGCCGTGAGACAGGGAGGAAGCTAGTGAAGCTGCTCGCATCTTGCACTCAGCTTGTCCTGGAAGGGAGGGGAGAACACAGAAAAAACATCTTTCTTTCCCAGCACTGAAAAGAAGGGGCACATTAATAACCCAGTAAACTGTCATGTATTTCTGGCACAGGGTGTCTAAAAGCAGGAAGCCTGCAGAGAATCAGTTCAAGACTTTGATTTGAGATCTTTCTACTTTTGCCACCTACCCCCTTGGGAATCCATAAGCCTTCCTGGCTGCTGCTATTTTTTGCTATTTCTAGGTTGTTTTATAAATGCCCTGAAGGGTGTGGTGGAAAAATGGGGTAACAACAGGGGGCTTATCGCCTCATAAAATTTGCCCAAGCCAGCCTCCCAATCTTCTCTGTCCCATCGCTGTGCCTCATTTTCCTCCTCACTGTCCCCCGCAGGACTCAAATACTTTTAAACAGCCAGTCAGCCACGCAGGACAGGCAAGGGGAGCCTCTAATGGCCCAGCAGCAAGTGTCCCCAGTGAGCTGCAGGCACGTGGGGTCTGCTGGGCCATCGCTCTGCTCCGTGCTCTGTGAAGAAAAGGCTGTGGGGTTGGTGGCAAGTCCTTAGTGACTCAGCTCTAGCCTCTCCACTTCAAAATGAAAGCAGGAGTATTGTCACCATCCAGGTTAGAATTGTTATTGTCAAACGACTAACGTAATTCCATAAAAGAGAATAAGTGTTCCAAGGAGCTGAGCAAAAGAGGTTTATTTCATAGGCAGAAAAGGCTAAAAGGCAGAAACAAAGAAAAAAAGCAGATTGGTCATTTCAAAGTTACTTTCCTTGTAAGGAGGGGACAGGAAGACAGAACAATAGAAGAACTGACTAGTTAACATCAAGTTACTTCAAGCTATCTCTTTTGTATAAGGATTAAAGCAGAAGGAACTGATTATTTTACCTATTGAAGATTTAAACTGGCCTCTTTGGGAAATTGGCTATTTCTCTCTCTCTTGATTTCTCTGATGGTCATGGTCAGACCACAATCTAAGTGACAAGGAACTTGGTAGGGGTGACTCCATTTTGATTTTTAGTTTGATCTTTTGGGGCACAGTGCAGGAACTTAGTCCAAAACAATGGCCTCCTATAATTTTTATTTAACATTATTTAATAGCAAAAATACTTACCACTTTGAAATAAGACCTTGCCACATTTAGAGCCTCAGATGTCAGAGGCATTTAAGCTAAGTGCACAATAAATGCTTGCTTAAGGAATAAATAGATGCAGTGGCCCAAGGGAGCCAGGAAGGGGGGCTGAGGACATAGGTAAGAGGAGGAGTTAAACTTGGATTCTTGGAGCCACCCACCCAAAGCCAACTCTGTGTCCCTGGCTCAGCTCATCAGGTGCTGACCCTGAGAGCCATCTGGAGGTGAGTGCTCAGGGCAACAGAGCTGCAGGAGCACAGAGTTCGACACAGCCACAGTTCTGCTCCAACAGCTCAGACTAGAGGCAAAGTTGTAAAGCAGGTTCCTCTCCTCCCACCCCAAAAGGGAGACTTTCAGCACTGCACCCTCCTGGGTGCTCACAGAGCCTTCTGCCATCCTGCTACCCAATGATTCATTGTGCCCTGGCATGTCCTGTGGTAGCAGACTCCATGCACAGCACAGGACAGATCTACTCCTGGAGAGATGAGAAAGAATGAGCCCCTGAATCGCTGATCCCATAATGACTCCTTGTAAATACCCATGATTTTCACTGTTGTGGATGTGACTCTGGAAGCAGGCACAGCCCATCCCAAGTTTGTCCCATCAAAGAATCAGGAAAAGGAAGCTATTGTTGGGGTTCAGAAAGCTGTTCCCCCAAAATATGGTGTTTTGATATGCTGGAATAAAGAGGCAGGCTCAATGTCTCTCTTCCCCACATCCTCCCACCGTCTCTCAATTCTCTGTCACTATATAAAGCACAGGATGAAGCTGTTCCCTTATTTGCCTAAAGTCTGGACCCACCAAAGAAGACTAGTCGCTACCTCTATTCCTTTCCCTGAGTTTTTATTAACTGAACTCATATCACAGGAAAGAAGATTGGAGTCTGACAACACACCTGGACAAGCTCGTCACAGACCATTGTCTTCTATTTTGGTCCCACTCAGTATTTTGAAGACAATCATTTACCAGTCATTGTATTCTCTGTGGGCCAAACAGACTTTGTCCCAGGCCACTGTACACTCTTCCAGCCCACCGAGCTCCCCTAAAAATCATTTACTCCTACACTCCCCATCTCCCCTTTCCCTGTTGTTACTCGCAACAGGCTTTGCCACCCTCTCACACTAAACAAATGACCCAAAAGTTGGTGCAAAGATTGGAAGCTTTATTCAGGTAACTCTAATCTGGGGGATGACCAGGCTAAAATCATCCTGCTTTCTGATGCCTGTTCTGAGGTTTATAAGCAGAAGACATGGGAAGGTGAGGTTGGGGTTTTGTCCTGCAGGCAAAGGGAGAGGATAGTCATGGGATCAGCAGAGGATCCGAGTCAGATGTCAGTGTCCCATGATGGACTGGATGCTTTGGAATCATGGAGTCTGCAGCTGATGGACTGGTCACCTTCAAACCCTAGATGTTTTGGGGGCTCAGAGTTCTTATATCCTAGGGAGAGCTCAAAGACAATAACTTCAGTCAAGCATCACTGGAACATAAAAATGCCTGACTCTTACCTCTAACTTATGTGAATGAAATTTTCCTTTAAGCAAGAAGATGAGTTAATAATCAACTAGGGTGTTTTGCCTTTCTCTTGGAATTTCTTTGTTTGCAGTTGATTAGGAAAGGTAAGAAAAAGAATAAAATTAGTTTCAATTCTTAATTTTAGGTGTGCAACATCTAAAGTAAATCAGCATAAGAAGGTGTAATGGGAGATAAACAGAAATAAACTTTTGAGAAGGATGCTTTTGGGGCATTTTATCTCCAGGCAGTTTCAGCCATATGGTCAGTTTCACAATTTCTCTGCTAACCTCAAGGAATTGATGATTATTAGTTCCTAA